GCCGGGTGTACACGGAGGAGGTGAGCAAGCAGGGGGCAGCCATGGTGACTCCTCAGGAGCTTGTCCGTGAGAGCAGGGAGCTGGACAAGGCCAGGGGCCAGTAAGACCTTGAAAAGAAGCGTCGTGAGCTCGGCGACGGAGGTGGGCAGAGGGGCATGTGGCCAGCGTCAGGAGGGCAGTCCGCGGCTTCAGTAGCCCCTCTGCAGGGTGGACAGTGGCTGGGCCGGTCCTCAGGAGCTGGTCCTGAGGGCGCTCACTCTCGCTGCCTTTAGAAAGCTTGGAAGATCGGCCCATTGGGAGGCCTGGATTTGGTGTGTTTTACCCGAGGCTTATCTGCTTTCTCTAGATGGAATGTTTGGCTGTAGAGCTTTTATTCAAGGGATTGTCAAGCAGAAAAAGGCAGAATGGTCTTGTGGGAGTTCAGAGCCTTCCTGACCTGCTCTGCCCCCCCTCTGGGTGTTCCTGGAAGTCTGGGGCCGCGGAGTGCTGTCTGGGGAGCCCGCTGGGCCGTCTCCAGAGCCCACGATCTCAGGCTGCTTCACGCTCTTAAGCGAGGAAATACCGGGACCTTCATCCCAGTAGCGCGTGCTCACTGGTCAACTCACAGGGTGCCAGACGCAGGCGTGGGCGGTGGTGGCGAGGGGACACGCGCAGCAAACCTGACAAGGCCCCGCAGTCTGAGCACAGGGGTGGCCTCACCCCGTCATCCGCGAGCCCGTGAGCTGCATGGTGTCCCAGGGAGGACCCGTGACGCCTCGTCCCCCGGTCTCTGACCCTGAGGCCTCATCCTAGTTTCCTCACGTTGGGCTGAACAAAGTGGCCGTTTTTAAGGAGGATTTGCCTACACGTGTAGAGATCATCCTAGAATCAGGTGCCCAAGAAAAGAGGGAAAACTAGTGGGTTAGGAAGTCATGGACCCGCGGGGCAGGCTGGGGGACAGTGGCCCCCCAGCATGTGGGAACTACCGTGCCCTCTCCTCTGCTCAGCCAGGAAGCGACCAGCACTCTAGATCTGCCAGGTAATTCCTTGCTCCTGGCTCTTGAGGGAATCAAGCTTTTCAGCGGAAAAAAACACACCAACAAAACAAAGCCTGAAACCATCTCGGATCACCTGGCAGATCAGGGCCGTGGCCTGGTGCGAGGTAAGGACGGGGACCTGCTAGGAGCCAGGGCAGCCCGGAGGCGTGGGCACCCACAGCACCCGGGACGGCGTGCTGAGCGGCGAGGCGGAGGGGCTGGTCACACTCGCTCTTTGAAAGCAGGTGTTCTCAACTCAGTCCTGAAGCAAACAGATCGCTCTCACCTTCTTCGTAAGTGCCTTCTGGCGCTCAGCCACCTTCCGGGCGGCGATGCTGAGTCAGGAACAGCGTGTGGAAGGGGCGTGCTGTGTGATGAGCACAGGGGCTGGAGACAGAGGTTTCTGCTCCTCGGACTAACACTGGTCCAGAGACACTGGTGGGGCCCCGAGTGAGACGGCCAGTGGGGGGAGAGGGCCTCCCCTGCTGTTTATCACACCGGACGCCTAGAAACCCTTCCTGGGACGTGCATGGCTGTGAGGGCAGCAGGGGGAGTTCCAGCCATACCAGAGGGAGCCACAGCAAGGTGGCGTGGGGCGCTCAGGTACTCCAGCCAAAACGTTTCCTCGGTCGGTGACTCAGTCACCCACAGAGCCGTTTGCTGCGCTAAGTCCCAGGGCGATGCTGATGTCACTGCCGGCCCCGGGCCCCCAGCACCAGCCCGACCGCACACAGACGTCCGGTCCGCAGAAGGGAGGAGGGCACGAGACAAATTCCATTATAATAGCCATCTTTATTTGTAAAAATTCACATATCAAATGTATTCTTTTGGTCTTTCCATGATTTCCTTTTTACAAAAACAAAAAGTCACATAAACACCTTCCCCACTGTCATTCCCACAGATGGATGTTTGCCAGGCAGCCCCTCCCCCTCCCCACATATAGCTACATGCTTCATTCTTGGACGGCTCGCTTCCCCCACATGCTTCGGTGCTTCCTACCAGGGTGGAGTTCTGAGTCCTGAGACTGAAGTACACAAAGGGGTGGGTGAGGGTGCAGAGTGTGGCACGATGCTCAGGCGTGCAGGGCGGGCTCTAGTAGTAGGTCTCCTTCTCCACCCAGCCTCCAGGGCTTCGCCTGATGATGAGTTTTCAGGTTCATCACACACGAAGATGAGAAGAGAGTACGGGAAGGCACAGAACCTCCAGGTAGGTTTGAGGGGGTTCATCCTCAGGGCAACTCCCATTCCAGGGCAGTAGGAAAGGAAAGCAGCGAGGGCCATCTCCTCAAAGAGGCCAAATATTAAGATCTTGTTCTTCAGCCCTAGCGGGTTTGGCTCAGTGGATAGAGTGTTGCCCTGTGGACTGAAGAGTCCCAGATTCGATTCCAGCCAAGGGCACATACCCAGGTTGCAGGCTTGATCCCCAGTAGGGGGCATGCAGAAGGCAGCCGATCAATGATTCTCTCTCATCATTGATGTTTCTATCTCTCCCTCTCCCTTCCTCTCTGAAATCAATAAAAATATATTTTAAAAAAAAGATTTTGTTCTTCATCCTCTGCTGGAAGACGGAGTTCCTCTGGGTCTTGCAGATGACCACGCCGGCCCACTGCACCACCACGATGCTGACAAAGAAGGCCGTGTGGCCGGCGAACTCCACGATCTTCCTGTTTGTAGGTCCACTGCTGCCTGTAGCTGTCCTCCATGTCATTGGCCCAGCAGTCGTCTCAGTCCACTCAGATGCCCAGCTGGTTAATTGGGAGGAAGCCATTCTCAGCCAGAATCACAAAGTGAAGAAGCCCCTAGGCCCTGGATCATACCAATCTGCCCGTAGGCCATGCTGGTCAGCTGCTCGGTCACCAGCTTTTCCGATTTGTCTTTCTTTTTTTAATATATTTTATTGATTTTTTACAGAGAGGAAGGGAGATGGATAGAGTTAGAAACATCAAGGGAGAGAAACATCGATCAGCTGCCTCCTGCACACCCCCTACTGGGGATGTGCCCACAATCAAGGTACATGCCCTTGACCGAATCGAACCCAGGACCCTTCAGTCCGCAGGCCGACGCTCTATCCAGAGCCAAACTGGTTAGGGCTGGGCTGTCTCTTCATGATGTCGCTCTCAGCTGCAAGCAGGTGCTCAAACAAAAACTTGTACCTGAATATTTGTAGCAGCACCACTATTATGTGGTCCTTCCCCTAATGCAGCGGTTCTCAACCTGTGGGTCACGACCCTTTTACAGGGGTTGCCTAAGACCATCGGAAAACATATATAATTACATATTGTTTTCGTGATTAATCACTATGCTTTAATTATGTTCAATTTGTAACAATGAAAATACATCCTGCATATCAGTTATTTACATTACGATTCATAACAGTAGCAAAATGACAGTTATGAAGTAGTAACGAAAATAATTTTATGGTTGGGGGTCAACCACATGAGAACTGTATTAAAGGGTTGCGGCATTAGGAAGGTTGAGAACACTGCCCTAATGGTTTCACAGTGTGGTGAGCTTGTTTTGGAGTTGGACAGGTCTGGATTCATGTCTGCTATTTATTAGCCATGTAACCCTGAGCAAGTGACCCAGCTGTTTGGACCTCATTATTTGATCTGTAAAATGGGCATGTTGTCTCATATCTCAGACATCTTGCAAAGATCATTTGAGATCATTTATGTAAAGGACATAGGAACAACTGGGGAAATCTGAATATGAAAAATTGAATATTAGCTATTTCACTCATGTTAAAAACCTTAGGTGTGATAATAGTATTTTTACTATATAGGATGGAGTGGCTTGTTTGGCTGGGTGTCGTCTGGTATACGAAAAGGTTTCTGGTTGGATTCCCAATCAGGGCACATGCCCAGGTTGTGGGCTCTATCCCCAGTGCGGGGTGTACAGGAGGCAGCCAATATAAGTTTCTCTCTCACATTGATGTTTCTCCCTCTCCTTTCCTTTCTCTAAAGATCAACAAAGTTGTTTTTTTTTTAAAATATATTTTATTGATTTTTTACAGAGAGGAAGGGAGAGGGATAGAGTTAGAAACATTGATGAGAGAGAAACATCAATCAGCTGCCTCTTGCATACCCCCGACTGGGGATGTGCCCGCAACCAAGGTATATGCCCTTGGCCGGAATCGAACCTGGGACCCTTCAGTCCGCAGGCCGACGCTCTATCCACTGAGCCAAACCAGTTAGGGCAACAAAGTTTTTTTATAAATAGCAAAATTAGGGATGGAATGTCATTTGTAATTGACTTTCAAATGAGTCAGCAAAGAACAGAGACCCATATACATACATATTTGCAAATGTGTAGAGATTAAACAGTAGAGCAAAATGTTAAAAAATTTGTAAATCCAGACAGAGTCCATATATAAGGGTTCATTGTACTAATCTTTTAGCTTCAGTGAAAGTTTGATATTGTTAAAAATATAAAGTAGGGGAAGAGGTGCAACACTGGCCACAAAGTCTCCCTCTTCCAGGAAGCCTGCCCTGATTAAATATACTTCTCCACACAGGCAGCTTTTTTTTTTTTAATGTATTTTGATTTTTTACAGAGTTCGAAACATCGATGAGAGAGAAACACCAATCAGCTGCCTCCCGCACACCCCCCACCAGGGACACGCCCGCAACCAAGGTACATGCCACCGACCAGAACCAAACCCGGGACCCAGTCAGTCCGCAGGCCGAAGCTCCATCCACTGAGCCAAACCCATCAGGGCTGGGCAGCTTTTCATGTTCATTAAACACCCCAGCCCTGGCTTCTAGCAGCATTTTTGACAGTTAAAAGGGGAAAATGATGTCTGGCCGGCGTGACTCCGTTGGTTGGAGTGTCTGTCCCATCACCACAAGGGAATCACCGCAAGAGAATCTTGTGGTGAAAGGAGTTGGCTTTGATTCAGTGTCCGGGTGTGTACAGGAGACAGTTGATCACCGTTTCTCTCGCTCTCTCCTTTCCTCTCATAAATTAATAAATAGGGAGAACAATGTCTGGTCTTCACTTTATTAAAAATATAATCCAGCAAAGGAAGCAGCGACAAACATGACAAAGTGATTTGTCCACCCGGTAACACAGAGCAGTGGCAGGGCTGGTTTCAGGACCCTTACCTCCTCGGCCATCTCTACAGCAAGCTATACTTTGGTCGGAAGTGGAAAGTTGGAGTGACACTCACAGGCTGTCACGGAGGCTGGCTCCTTGATGCCTTTGCTCGAGCACACCCTGTGGGTCCTGTGTCACAGCTGCCTTTTCCCCACTCACAGAGCCCTTCTCACGGCCCATCCCCAGCCCTGCACTCAAGCACAAACATCTCAGTGAGAACTATGGGCTTTATTGCAAATGGAGTTGCCTGCTAAGGAGCCGCCTCTCCAGTCCTCCTTTTCCACTCTTCCTCTCAACACGTCCCTCCAGGCAGGCCACTAGGCCATTATGGAAGAGGAGTCTGGGGAGAGTGAAAAGGTGCAATGTCTTCTCCAAAGTCTTCTGGAACAAGCCCTGAGTCCGCCTGGCTCCAGGTGAGAACCTTGTGATGAAAGGGGTAAGACTTAGCTCCCATCTTCAAGGTCCTCCATGTCTACGTCCTGGGGGGGCTTCGTCTTCTTTTTTGATTTAGGCTGTGGGCCACTAGTCCTGGCTGGCTTTGCAGGGGCTTCCACTGAACAAAGAGAAAGAAGATGCATTAAAGAACCCAAGTGGAGTCAGGCTGCCCCCACATCCCGCCTCTGTGCCCAGCCTCACCTTCCATGGCTGCTTTCTCTTTCTGGGCAAGCCGGATCTGCTGGAGGAGTTTTCTGCGCTTCTTCCCAGACAGAGTAATGTTGGCACGTGCACTGGACCTGAAGGGTTGGCAGGACAAAGATCTGGGTTAACCTGAACAACACAACCACACAGGCGGTTCTAGCTATTAAAAAGGTCTTTGGCTCGGCTGGCATGGCTCAGTGGTTGGGCATCGACCTATGAACTAGGAGGTCACGG